CTGATTACAAAAATTACTGCAATAATTTTCCATATTTATTTCACAAATACAGAATAATATGAACACGTGATTTACTATATTTAAAGGAAATATATACCGCATAAAATACTACTTATTTATACCTATGTGTGTATTTTTGTTATCTCTGAATTGTTGTTTATGTCTCGAAATCTATTCCATCGTGTAAATGACGAAACAATGGTTTACTAAAGAAACATCAATATTGATTGTATTAAACAAAAAATTTATTTTCACAGATTGAAATCATGAGTCAGTTGAAGCTAGACCACCATTGAAAACCTGGAAGCACTGGACGGCCGTTTCGTCCTAGTATAGGACTCCTCAGCTCACTGAAGACAATGGTATATGGTGGCGCAACTTCAAGGATTGGTTGAAGTTAGACATTAACACCGTTGGATGCCGGCTCAGTGATCTAATGGTTAAGTGCTCGCGCGCGAAGCCGGTAGGTCCTGGGTTCGAGCCCCGAGTGGCGCGGGATCGTGGATGCGCACTGCTAAGAAGTCCCATACTAGGACGAAACGGCCGTCCAGTGCTTCCAGGTTTTCCATGGTGGTCTAGCCTCAACTGACTCATGATTTCAATCTGTGAAAATTTCTAAAAATCCCCACAAACCCCTTCTGATAAAAAACTTATTATTATGATATTCACTTTCTAGATTTGTTATTCCAGAAAAATGTTAATGTTTATTACCTTTTGGAAAAGTGGTAATGAGAATATCTAACAACAATTTAATAAAAACTCAATGATGCTTATTTACAATATGATTGGCATACACATTTTGCATTTAACTTTGATGAGAATGCTTCATCATATAACACTACATATATGATAAACAAAGATAAAAACTGATCAAGAACGATATCCAATGGACTGTAGATTTTTTATTTACAAAAGATAGAGTTCTTTGAATCGTACTGATGAATGATTTCTAAAAATCAAATGTTTAATATGCTGTTGTTCATTTGTGTTAGATTCCATGTTGATCTATAGATGAATAGCTTATATGTAAAAATGAATGGACTGGAGTTGGGAATGTGATTCAATGAATACCAATTTAATGGTTTAAAAATAATCAACTTGCTGTGAAAACTAAATAATCTTTCTTTCAATCCGTCGTATGATCATTGATAAGACAAGACATCTGTCCAGTATTCCCTAATTGTTCAAATAGACTTCAATCTGTGATTCAGTATATGCAAAAATTGAGCAGTCACCACCAACTTCCCATCATATGCTTTATCACATGTTTCACCACAAATGCTATTGAAACTTAGTTGTACTATCAATTTGAGTTTTTCGCAATGAGATTATTCGAGATATATTTGTTAATATTTACTGTTCTTTCCTTATATGTGTCACATATAACGAACAGAATGCACGCAGTTAATATTTTATGTTTCCACTTTTTTTACGATAATCGTGAACAGGATTTTTGATAATACACCAACATAGATAAACGATCCAAACAATTTATCAATCAGTAAATTATTGTGAACTATGTGAAGATTTCAAGGTCTTTCATAATCATCATTACATGTGAGACTTTATAATCACTTCATTCCATTCCACGCGGATCCAGAAACGTAACAGAGAAAGAAGACAAATTCAGCATTAACTTTGGAGTACGTTGGATTACTTATAAGATGTATTATTTTGGACATAGCTGACGATTCTTTCACTCAGCTATGCAGGGATATTAACTAGCAGTAAGAAGGCATGATGTTTCATTTTTAGACCATTACAAGCAGAGGATTATAGAAAAAAGTTGGATGCGAAAGTACTGATGTTTCCCACTGAGGTAATTCCAAGAATGTCAGAAAACTTTAGAAGTATGAAACTGAGATCAGTCAAGAATCAACAGACCCGTCGATAAAAATCTAAGTTACCTGTCTCTTCCATTAAAACTGCGAAATGATTTAGGTCAGACAACCATATTAAGATATGAAAACAGTACACATAAATCAGTTCATGATATTACGCGACTAGTTTTGAGAGAAAATCTCAGGGGTTACAGTGTGAAACCGTAACTAGTAGAGTTAAACTTTGTCGGATGTGGGGAAGGTACGCACAAGAAACAATGAAAGATAATTACACAGCGTCGCGAAGTGACTGAAGTTCGACTTGTATACCACTGGATCCATCCTTAGTGACCTAGATGTTAAGCGTTTGCGCAAGACCGAAGATCACTAGTTAGATTCTTGATTGCGAAGCCGTGGATGTGCACTGATGAAGAGTACCATACTGGAACGGAACGGATGTCCAGTGCTTCCATGTTTTATATAATTACCTAACTAAAATCATTTCGTGGTTTTAGAGAAGTTCGACAAATCTCCACATCCACATACTGATAAGTCTCAACCCATGTTAAAAAGGTCAATTAGCCACATGGTTAGAGGTTACCCGGATAAAATACTTAATGGGATCACACTGATATATGAAGATAATAAAACGTACTAAGTTAGTTTTTCAATCAGAAACAAGGTCCTAAGTTTGTACGGAGTCGGTTATTCTGGAACTTAAACAGCTCCTGTTATTGTGTATAAAAATCACACAATTTATATTTAACAATGTGCTGTACCGCCTAATTGATGTAGTAGCCATGGGCAGCCCTTTGGGCCCAATTCTGGCCGGCATATTTATGGGAAACCTGGGAAAAAAGAAGCTCAGGCACGCAATCAATGGTACCACACTCTACTGTATATATTTTGGTGACACATTTCTTGTCTGCAACAATCACAAGCACTCCATTAACCTACTCAGTCTCTTTAATAAAGCACACAAAGATATAGAATTTACTATGGAACATGGAGTTGAAGGTAAATTCCATTTCCTAGATATTGGAATCAGACGAACATCAGATGGTACATTACAAAGACACATTCATCGCGAAAATACTTGGAGTGGAGTTTATCTCAATTACTACAGCTTCTGTCTAATGAGTTACAAAAAGGGTGTTGTACGAACCCTTTTTGACCGCGCATGTAAAATCTGCTCAAAGGAATGCCTTGAAGAAGAAGTTCCTCTAATCAATAATTGCCTACATGAAAATGCATATCCGGCAAAATTCATCCGTAAGTATCCAGATACCAACCTTCGCGTAAGCATGATACAGTGGAAAATAAAGCTTGCTTCTTATAATTGCACTTCGAAGGAGATGAACTTACCGGAATAATCAATCACAGAATAAATTCCGCGTTAAAATTGACCTACCCAGCAGCAAAACTGACGACGTTATGGGAAACGAACTGCTCACCCAAACAAACTAAAATCGACAGGTCCTCTTTTCTCAGTAGCTACAACTGAATTTACCAATTCACATGAACGTATCAAAGCACATACATTGGAGTCAGTCAGTCAGTCAGGTACAACGTAGTACCAGGCACATTTATGCATCGGTCCAAGTTGCCATACCTCATTAACCCCAATAACATACATTGGAAGAACTGAGAGTAGAGTACATGATCGCATTGCTGAGCATGTTCCAAAGAACTTGAGGCTGCGAAGGACTAAGGCTCTCAACAGTGCAATAGATCGGTATTTACTTGACACCGTGCATACCATCGACATTCCTCACGCTTTTAAAATTATCAGCAGACAAAGAAGTACGACTGCTCTCCGTTTTGCTGAAGTGATCGCGATAAAAAAACTTAAACCGGATTTATGTATTCAAAAAGCGACAGTAGTAAACTTATTATTACACTGGTAATCCATTTTTTGTTTTATTTTTACTGTTTTTTTGGTTATTTGTGTTATTTTTTCATTTATTTAATTTAAAATATTTATTTGGTGTTATATTCCTCCCCTATTACCGAATTCTTAAACCAACTTTTCATTCATACATTTCTGCCCACTTACCCTCTTAAATTATGTGAACTTTTCAAATTCTATTCAATTATTATGTAACCTCTCTTATCAGTGTTTAATTCCATGATTCCTTCATTACCTCTAAAATTATCACACAATTTATCTTATCTGTCTCTGAACTCCACTCAACTATTATACCACCCATCCTGAATAGTTTCCTTGATTCTAACACCGAATAACCTCTAACCTGTTCTTGCATATGTGTATATATATAGTCATTATTGATAACCTTTGTCATTCCAATTATTTGCATTCAATTATGCCAATTGTTTCATATTATTTCTTATCTCAATGTAAAATACTAATACATATTTGATTATAAGCAGCTGAAGAGAAACCTCGAAATATTATGAATTCATCTATTCTGCATCAATATTGTTCTTGCTTTATTTAAATTTATAATTGCATGAAATTCTGGAATAATCAGAGTGTTCACTTATACTTGAAGTAGGCGTCGATGACATTACAAAAATAATATCGGAATCTTCCGGGTTAAATCATTCAGAGAACTCAGGATAACCAAAAGTACTCATCTGAGTAACAAATCTTCTCTATCATCTTAACAATTAGCTTTTCCAAAATTTTCGAACTTAAGAATGGGTAGATTAAGCGACATAGTGAAAATAGTAGTGTGAAGGAATAATAATAATAATAATAATAATAATAACGAAATGTATCAATGTTTCAGAGATTAAAATGAAAATAAAAAAACAAATTTTTATAAAAATATGAATAAATAGTAAACAAAGTTTTCTGGGAGTAAGTAATAGATTATCTAACTAACATACGAACGTCTGGAACTAGAAACTTCAGAAATCATAGAAGCTATTTAAATCAAGGACCGTTAGGTAGTTGAATAAAATATGACATACAAGACTCGAAATTATTCATTACACATGGAGTGCATCTATATTCATTCGGAGATTACACCAATCAGTTATGTTCGTTGGATTAAAACTGCAATTTACGGTGATAAGTTCATATTCAATATAAAAGTCCAAATTAACACTTAAAAAGTTCATGAAATAACATATTTACTAAAAATAATACATAACAAATACAGTATATACTTAACATTGATGATAATGGCCATAACAATAACCTCTACATCTTACCATAACATCGATTTCCTCTCCCTAGCCGAAATCCATCAGGACATTGGCATTGATAACTCCCAGGTTGATTAATACATAATGAATATGGACATGGTGATATATAGTTAATATCATTATTGTACGGTTTCACATTGCATTCGTCGATATCTGATTTAATTAGTTTTTTATTATTATTATTGATCGTTTTGCATTATTTTTAAAAACACAAAAATGAATTATAAGTAGTATGGATTTTTACAAATTATTGATATGATTATATTATCAAACATTAAAATTAATTAAATATTTATCAGAATGTGGATCTTACTCATTTTGAAATCGGTCATGTTAGATTTGATGAATAACACACTTACAAGCACAAATTACGTTACTTATTAGTAACATAAAGTGTAAAGTACATAATGTTGGTAGAATCGTTCAATTAAGTGCATTTGTGACGCTTACATTATTTCCTCTAATGCAGATAATAACGTAGTATCTATCAACTGTTTGTTGAAGGTCTCAAATTCAATAAATTTATATAATAAAAATAACACTGAATAAAATAAATTCTCTGGTCGATCTAAGCTAAACCACCTTTAAAAGTTGGAAGCACTGAAAGGCCGTTTCATCCTAATATGGGACCTCTCTGAGGTGCGTATCCACGATCTGCATTTGACGGTTGAACTGAGGATTTTTGACCTTGCGCGTGAACGTCCAATCTCCAAACCACTTATCGATCATCCAATAGTGTTATCATCTTACTTCAAACGATTCATTATCTTGCTCAACCAGTATATCTTAATCCGTGTAGGGTGTGAGGGAGTTATCCACCTCAGATTATAGATTAAGGGTTGCACAAATCATGGATCAGCTGAATTTAGACGTCAATATCGTTGGATACCGGCTCAGTGGTGTTACTCTACTTATATTTGGATTGTGTATATTTTCGTATTCAAGGACGCTCGTTTGATTTTGTTTCGATCATCTCAGCTGAATGTAACTGTATCATATTGTTGATTTTAACTTAACACGTGAATATGATCAACGGATAATATTATTTTTACTAGATTTTTACTGTTTTTTGCATTTGACTGGTCTGCCAATTCAACTAACACTTTTCAGAAAAAATATGAATTTTTCCCAATTTACAGTTCACGATGATCACCAGTCAAGCCTAAACACTTTCCGGGCGAAAAATGACGGAAAAATTAATTTTGCAGTGTCGTTTCGGAAAAGTAAAGTGTAACTAACCTGGTGTTTTTTCCTTTATATTAATATACCTAGCTATTCACATATTTAATTTCTATGGCAGGATATTATTTTTGTTTTATAGTTATATTACTAATAACAGTAATAGTAGCTTAAGTAAAGTATCTAAAATAACGTCCATAAGACTAAGATCTTGAAAAATGTAATGAACTGACCAACGCACGATTTTTCATTTTCTCCATTTTTATATCCAGGAGCACACTGACATCGATAACCGCCAATCATATTTACACACTGGTGTTCTTTTCCACAAATATCTGATTTTTCAGTGCATTCATTAACGTCTGTGAGAAACAAAGTAAAGATGTTGTTGAAAGTAAGAATATAATCGAATGTTTTAAAATGTGGCGAAGAAATACATGATTATTAGTGAAAATATCAGAAAAGTGAATATTTCCTCTGGTTTTGTTTAAAAAAATACTAGGAATGGAGTTTTGACCTATACATGTGTACAGTTATATTTTAATGATATAGATATCTCGAAAACATAAGTTTTATATGCTTGATTAACTTGTTTCTGATAAAATTTAATTCAAGAGAAAAATAAACAAGACTACCCTTCGTTTAGCCCATTATAGATAACAGTTAGCAGGTCTAACAATGCCATGAGTGAGAGTGAATGTAATTATGGGTTGTCATATGTAGGATTTTACGCAGCAAGATTTGTGATCTTTTAAAAATTATTAAATACTATCTTTTCATTGTGCTTTATTTCTATCTATTAAGGCATGAAAAAAGTGTCAGTTGTTGTTGCGGAATGCCATAGATTGTTAATGTCATCAGACTCTGTACTCCAGTAGTAGTGCTTAAAGTGATTTAAACGGTTATGCGTATTTATTTTATTTTGTTACATATCAGAAGACCTCGGAACAGTTTCAGTAAGTAAAGACATATTTCATTTTCATGTAGTTAATAATGAAGTGAATAGTGTATGTTATGGTTCTGTCTGACTGTAACACATGGATGTTAAAATTGAACTGACAAGGTAGACAAAAAGTTAACCTAATCATCACCCCGTTAATTTCATAGTTTGATGATTAACTTATAATATTTGAATCGCATATTCATTTATATTTTGAATTCAATTCAATAATGATTATTTTTATGGTAATGTTTTTGCAGATACGTACGCGACTTCCCTACATAAAATAATCGATTCTTATAGAGGTATATCTCAAATTCCGGTAGTTGTTTGTCGGAGTATTAAATAAATTACTCGGATACGTGAGTTGTAATCGACATCCTTAATAACTGTATTGTATTGCGGGATCAACCGGAAAATCTGTCGTCTACATAACTCACGATACTCCTGTTATACAATGAACAAGATAAACAAACTCTAACTTTAATTTCTGCCGTTGTTCTATATGTTTAGTCGTAGTAACAACTGAACAGTACTGATCCTGCATGCACATGCATGCGTTATCCACTTAGCTACTGAGTCCTGATAGCCACTAGCTTGTGCGATGGGGTGAAGTTTAATTCATTTTCGTATTGGTTGTTTGAATCTTCTTATTGATGTTTAGGACTTCAGTTAATTAGTTTCTTATAATGCTTGTGACTTAAGGCAATATCAAGACAATCCGCACAGGATGCACATATGCCAATAAGAGACTGATTAATTGCAGTCTTAAACATCAATAAGATGATTCAAGCAACCAATACAAAAAGGTCTGAACAAAAATGGTTTAAATTAAAAGGTTCATTTCAAAACGTTATGGAAAGTAGACTCAAAACGTGGTAGTGTATTCCAATGACGTTCTTGTCAGTAGGCAAAGGAAACTATGAAGTTTAGGAATTTGTTGAAATATTAAACCACATACATAAGTCTATATGTTAATTTCGTTTTTTTTATTAAATCTCTTTCATCACACTTTAAAGCCTTTATTACTTATTAAATAGATTATACTACTTTTTTCGTCTGAGCATTTGTAAGATTAACGATACTGTTCAGCTTTGTTTTTTTGATGAACTTTTCTGCAGAAAAAGTAATTACAACTAACCTTTGCATTTTAAGTCTGGATAACCTAACCAAATAAAACCTTCAGGGCAGACACAAACGTAACTTCCTTGAGTATTCACACACCGGGCCCTTGTATCAGGACAAGATTCCGCTGGTGTAAATATTGAACATTCATCAATATCTAAGGTACATTAGATAACAAACAGAACAGAAATATAAATTCAGTGTGTACAAACAAATAAATGTGAGATATGTTTTATTCTCGACATGACTGACCCCTACGGGTCAAGTTACTACTAGCCAATAACTTCAATAAAAAAATTATCATATTCTAGTGTGAAGCCCCGACCAGTGTAGCTAAACTATATAGAAAGTGGGAAAGTGTATATAGACTATAATTTCTACAACTTAGTCAAGCATAAATAGTTTTGAGCTCATCGTCATTCTGTTGATAAATAACGTGGGTTGAGTAGGAAGATTTTCCAGTTTTGTCTATATCCTACCACATATTTTTGAGGAAAATAAACATTGTTTTAGAAATCAAATTAAAAAATTTAAGGAACCTTCTAGTTTCCAGCCTTACGTATGCGAAAACTAGAAATATGTTTCCACAGCTTTAATGTAGTAATTTTTATTAGAATCAAAATAAAAGTTTTCAAAAAAAATGAAAACTATTTAGTCAGTAGTTACTTTATAAAAAGTCAAAATAATTTTCTTGACAGACTGACATTAACTGAAAAAGTACCAGAAACTAGGTAGTGAATTCCATTATCCCGTATACTTTACGTTGATTCAGGTTAAAACTTTGAACTTAAGTGAATTTTAGGATAACTTTACTAGTAACCATGAATCGTCATTCATGCTGGGATCGATTTTAAAGGTTTTAGATCTTTAATCAACTCTCTATTATCGTATTTAAAAAAATCACTAATATACATCAAATTATCTTTTACAATCTGTGAAAACATGAGCATTGTACATTTACTATAAGCGAAAAGTGGTGTGTTAAACTTTAAAAAAGTCACTCTTGTGACCTACTTAATGTTCGGTCCGAATGTCTTATGTATTAGTGTTTCGTTAACCTATAACTTATCTAAGGAAATAACCTAACATTGTAAACGTTTGTCCAAAATTCGAATCAACGGCTTAACAGAAATTGGGTTCTAAGTATAAAACAGATATCATATGTAAAATCATGTTTAAATAGTCTCAGCGATTGAAATCCAAATAATCTTAACATAGCACCTGCCAAACTAGTCCAAGCTTCTATAAAGAAAGCTCCATGAGATTATTTAAATGCAGTTTTCACATTGAAATTGCACAGTTGTCGGTAAAACGTCTTTGGTGAAATGTATGAATTTAAGTTGTATTTGTCTCAATAGTATATAAAACTTTTGTATGATGATGAAATAATAAAAGTTTTTTTAGATTTCACTTACTGAGACTAGATAACGAAAGTAGATCAAAGTTATCAAGGCTCATTACAAATATTACATTATCAAACTAGCTAAATCCAACAATACAATTTAATTTGCTGTGTTAATTACTTTATGTAGTCATAGTTTAAAATATTTGTGGATGGATTTCAACTGAGTGAGTGTGAATAAATATAAAAAATGAGTTAAGTACATTATATTAAATTTCTTCAACTACTCAGTATCTGATAAATACTAAATGTTTATTATTTCACTTGGTATTATTTACTTGAATCTTCACATTGATGTTTAGCACTGCAATTGATCAATCTCTTATGAGTCAGTAACTAAATAGATAATGCGATGACGTTTGAAGCCAACGGTACTGCATTCGAGTCCCAGAGTGAACATCAACTCTGAGATGCAGGTGCATCCGGCTGACGAGTCCCAAATAGGACGAAACCTACATCCTGTATTCCACTGCTGCCACTATCCATCTTTGCTTATAAATGTTTATTAATTCAAGAAAAATAATGTATCCAGTAACGTCATATTTACAAATCAGTTCAATCATTTGACTAAAGTTATCGTAATGAATTACATTCTTACTGTATGGAGGAGATAAAACAAACCAACTATGAAATGGATTTAATTATTCTATTTAAATAATATTCCCAAATTAATCAAAAGATGTCATGCTGTAACTATTCTTTAATGAGAATCAGTTAACTATGATCCAATAGAGATAGTAACTTTAGAAAATAAACAAATCAGTAAACCAAAACAGTATGAGGTACACTTATGAGAAAAACAGGAAAATTGTAAAATGTCATGCCTTTAATCTTTACAATAACAATTCTAGAAACAAGATAAATACTTTATGTAAACAGTATGCTTGAAAAAACGTTTTTTCATTGCTGTTGTGATTAAATATGTAAGACGTTTATTAGAGGAAATATTGTTGAAACATGAAATGGACTTGGCTCATTAAACATTATCAATAATCAAGGAACCAAATAGTGTAAGAAAATCATTCCTTTATCCGATTATCGTTGAATTATTAATTTCTATCATTATTTTGCTAATGTACTTTAAAATGCACAAAAGCAGAGTCAGTTTTTTCCTTTGATAACATTCATGCCTGGATTACTTTCAAATAAATATATTTTTGTTTTCTGGTAAGCGATTTTTAGCGAGTTAGTTTTCTACGGGATGGGAACGCCAACCCATGCCCAACCCTCCTCCTTTACCCGGGCTTGGGACCGGCAGTAACTCTGAAAGAGCTACAGGCGGAACTGGAAAGGATTGCCCAGGACAGGGTTGGATGGCGAATGCTGATGACTGGCCTATGTTCCTTCACGAGGAGTAATAGGCGTAAGTAAGTAATTAAGTAAGCAAATATATATCTATTTCTTGTAATATTTAACATCAAAGTACTTTTAATAATCTATTTGAACAATGAAAAAGTATGTTAATCGTGCAAATTGTGTTTGAAAAATTGATATAATTAATTGTTGATGAGAGATATAATTGTACTTGTCAAAGTAAAGTTATATCTATATACAATTGTTGATAGTTCTTACAAAAAACGAAAAAAAATCAGTGATATATACAACTGATCAAAGACATATTTGTATTTGTGTTGCGATCACGAACCGATCTAAGTTTAATAACCATTGACGACCAGAAAGAACTGGATGGCCATTTCATCAAACTATGGCACAGTTTAGCAGAGTCCATACACGGTACTATAGAGAATGAACCTAGGATTTTCAGGTGTTCGGGAGAGGCCTTAAACTTCAGACTAATGAGCCAACATTCAAAGGTTGACGTCGCCTAACTTCGGTCAACTGATGATAATCCACAAATAGCCGTCATTGTTTTGAGTAGATAAATGTCTCTGAGATCAAGCGCTCGCTACAAGACCTGAAGGTCCTGAGTTCGATCCCTTGTAGGGTTATTGATACACATTACTGAGGAGTCACATTTTGAGACAAAATAGCTACCCAATTCTTTCAGGTTTTCAGTAATATACTAAGGTCGGCTTTTAGCAGTAATAACATTAAAAATCATCCACGCAACCTCTATCATGAAGAATACTGATGACTTGACAGTGTAAATTTAATTAGTAAACATAAAGATTATATACTGAATTAATCAGTTAATATAATATAAGCATTGTGCTATATCGCCTAAATGACCATGGAACTATGTTGACGCAATTCACATCAGTACAAAAACTTGAAGTTAAATCAATGCAATGGAAGGAATCAAAAAGAATAATGCTGACATTAGTGAAAAATCAAATATCGTAAATCTAGTTCAAAACGAATGAATAAAATTCTGAAATGAAATGTGTGAAGAGAACGTGTGAATTGATCTACGTCAATGAGATTAATTTAGAGTTATATCAACTGACGTATCAATCACTACTAACGAAGTTTCATTAGACTTTTTCAGTAAGTTCTCAGAATACCTAAGAACTTAAACACAAATCCAATTGATATGATGGGATAAAAAGACGAAATCTAATTTTAACTTGTGAATTTTGGGTCAATATTACTTTTTTAAAATTCAGTATGATGATTACTCAATGTAATGTTTGTTTGGCTTCCAATCAGATATTTTATTCATTATAACATTAGTTTATTTTAGTGTACTGCTTCTCCAAGATACGATATTCCTGTATTGAATTAATATGAAATATACTCAGAATGACATGCATCATGTGAATTGTTATAAATCCGGGTATTTTTCATATAAATGTGATTTTATTCTAGTTAGTAATCAAAATGAGTTTACAGTCAATATATAAGTCAATATATTTTTGACTAGGATAGTCGTGTTTTGTGGTTAAGAAGTCTTCACTCATACAAGTCTTGGTGTTCTTACTTCAAATCGTAGAAATTGCAGTGATTACTTGTTTTCTTTCTCAAGTTTAAGTGATATTTATATCTTTATTTATCTACTGTCAAAATTCACAAATTTCATTCCACGCTTACTGGTATATCATATTAGGTTGAGTGCTGATACCGGAGATACAACATGCTTCAGCAATCAAAGTTGACCTAATGTTTCTACTTGGTGCTCTTTACCTAAAGTTTGAATTCTTTACTAGATGATTATATGATAGTTCATTGTCAATTATTACGTTCAAATTTACCGAATTCTAAATGAAAACAAAATAAGTTTTTTCAATTCACTTGTGTTCAGCACCCCATAAAAACAATAAAAGAGGAAAGCTAATAGAGAATTACACACAGGTTGTTAAAAATGAAATTGATTTTCATTAAATCTTCTTCGAATTTCTCATTGATATTCACAGATATATCAGACATTGTAGTTAATTGCTGTAGCTTATTTCTATTATTTTTTACAATAATGTAATGATTAAGCTTGAGTGAAGACATAAATTATTTATCGCCACTTTCTGAGTTCACTTATCCCGAAATCCTATTTACTATGAGGTCATCCACCACTTTAAAACTGGTAACTACTATTGAGGATTTTTTTCAGTAGTATTGAATTCAATGTAAGTTGTAGTATTTTCGTGGTTAACTTTTTGAAAATGTAGAATTCCATTTATAGACTCATTGGTATTATAATTGTAAAATTCAGTTTATTAAACGTTAGGAACATCATACTTTTGCCGTTTCTAAGCATATATGTGAAGTTAATGCTGTGCTTCAAAACGGATTCATTTACACTTTTTACTAGTTCATTAAATGTTGTTTATCAAAATTTTGAACTCTTTACCTAGTGATCATTCAAGAGGATAGTCAAAAAGAAGAGAGATTATTGAGAAATCTACAACTAAATTATCTATTTACGATGAAAAATTATGGTTCATGATAAAGTTCTTATGAGAATAGCTGACTGAATTTTGATATACCCAACTGCAGCGCATATCAACAAATATTAGAATCAGTGAGATAAAAGTAATTTCTTTGAGATTTTAGGTGATGTTTGCTAGTCAGTCCTAAGTTTTTAAAACATTATAGACTCTATTAGATATTGGTGAAAGCATCATTGAAAGCTTGATGGGATACTTTAGATTACCTGATCCTCATTTACATCAAAGCACGTTGACCATAAAGGATAATGAAAAATTTCTAATTTATAACCATAAGGATTTCCGTTTCAATCCTTCATTATAACAAGATAATTTGGTAAGAAAAATCGTACACAGATGTTCATTTAAAATGACACTTATAAGGATATCATTTCATGAATTTAACTAAAACCTATTAAAATATTGAACAATAACACGATAGTTGTTTACAGTGTAAACATGGAAGCTTTAAAAGTATACAGTACATTATTTAAAATGTCAACTTACCTGTACAATCTGTTTCATTAATATTCTTATATCCATGTTTACATATACACTGATAAGAACCAATAGTATTTTTACAAAATGTATGAGCACCACAACTGTCTCTGTTCAATTCACATTCATTTATATCTAATTGAAATTGGAATAATATAAGAATGTGAAATATACTATCGAACTTTAAAGAATGTAAACTAGAAATATATCCTTTAAGCCACATATGTTTCTCCTTACACTGAGCAGATTTTGCATATTATTAGGCCACTCATTGTTTATTAAGTGAACCACAACAACAGAATTCATATCTATATGAAAGTTTGAAACGATAGATTATGGATTCCAGTAAGTCGGAATGTGAATAATAAATCTAGTAGACCTAATTAAGGAACTCGTAATGAGGCATCAATAAATATTATATTTCACTATTGAGTAATAGGTCATCAGTTATTCCCGACTACTTAATGTTCAGTCCGTAGTACAAATTGAGTCCTGTATACCATATTATAATCTGTCCATCAAACTATTTGACTCTCTATAACAGTGGATTTCATTTTTGTTTAGCTGTGAAAACTGGACTTACATTTCATTTTGATCAAGGCCCATCTGGGCGCTTGAGGGAATTGATATTCTAAAGGGGATTCCATCAACACTTAATTAGTGAAAATGAAGATTTCTTCCAGTTAATCTGGCATGTCTCATATTGTATTTTGTTCCAAGAAATGATAAATTTTAATTTATCTAATGAATTACTTTTGATATGCCGAGTGTTAATCAGTCGACAAAACTTAAAATCATTCATTCAAGGACAAATTCACTACTGAGATAAATTCTAATAGTATTTGTGCTGAAGTTTTAATCACTATCTAACAGGATTTCCAAAATATTAAACTATTTTGAATTCTCGAATACAACCTCCGTCAACAGTGATTATTTGCATTCGTTTATGTTAAATAAAAAGAGAGTGCTTTTACGTTAATGTATTATGGTCCAGGTTTCTTAAAGTATATTTCATTTTCAACCATTATTTTATGCTCGTCACTGTAATATATCACCATAATTTTTTCTACTAAGTCTAACTGCATCAAGTCATCAAGAAAAGTCATGTGCCATCCATAACCACTAGGTACTTACTTCTTGTAAGTCATTATTTTGTTCAATGTTTTAATCCCTTATAATCTTTATCATTAGTTATTTCTGATGTAGTGTATTCTTGATTAAGATTCCTTTGTTAGAAAAAGGTTATCAACAAAACTGTTACTGGGATATTTCAATATCGTTCGAGTTGGGTAGCATTTAATTCCATTTGTTGTTAGTAAAACTATGCCTTTTTATCAATGATTTTTTCTGTTCTGTAAATTGAATCTTATGATAAACATTTTAATTTCTTATGAGACTATATAATAATCTTTAATTCAACTTCAATTGATATGATGATGGCTTGGGTTAAAAATCAACTTCATTGAAACGTATTGTGGTGTGTGCTACTAATGTCGACAGATATAAGTAGTATGTATCATCAATCGAAAGTGAAATGTCTGGAATCGCCCATGAGACATTGTACAGTTTTAATTGATATTAGACTAATATTTTTATAGTTTACCTAATTTTTTCATGACTGAAATAAATCTGAAATAACGAAATCAACATAAAACGAATTGGGATACATGAAAGTGACCAATTAATGAATAATAAATGCATTTTAAATTTATTTGTTTATTTCGCAAAAACACTGGGAAGTTATTAGATTATAGGAAAATGTATGTGAAACTTTTGGATAAATTTTACTATGAAAACTCTTTTAAATATAATTAGTTATCTAGAAAAACAAATTTATTCACCTTCACATCTTGAAAATTGAGATTTTCGTTTTAAACCTGATGGACATTCTTCTATTCGTATACAGCGAAATCCTCCGATATGATTCATACAAGTACTGTCGTAGGTGCAGTTATGCTTGTTTTCAGAGCATTCATCAATATCTGTTTTTAACAGAAAAAAAAAACATTACTCAATATAGAAAATATTATTTTCATAGAATATATGAATTGTGACCAACAATGGAATCCAGTAAGAGCTTTTCGTTCTATTTGAGTGAACACAAGCCAACTAACACTGATCAAAAATTCATTTTAGCTTATCAATAATAGGATACTACGAATCCTCCCTAATAGCGGTGTAAAATATACTAGTTATAACTATTGATGTAAATAAATGTTTACTATAGTTGATGATTAAACATTCCCACTTATTAAGAATCATCATGTATTTATGAGTGAATGACTAAAAAAGATTATTTGAAGTTCTGGTGTAAGCCCATGCTCTTATAAGTCGAAAAATTGAGTAGGGAGTTCGTAATTAATTATTGAATTGAATGATATTCAAGATGCAATTTATTGGATTCCACCTATATTACATAAATTTTTAATACATTCCACTAAAAAAATTTATGATCCTGATTGATGTATACAGTCAACAAAACTCACAGCACAAATAAACAGCTGTTTAATCCCTCTTAGTTTTTCAATGATTATTTCAGTGACATCATTTTGCTATGAAAACCTTTTACATGATGTACACCTCTTTCAAGATAAACACACTTGCTTCTATTTTCCAATGAACAAAATATTACAAACAATTTTTATTGCCTTTTGGAGATCGAATTTTCGTTATGAAATATATATCAACAAATACCCAAAGACTTATATTCTTTTGACTTCAATAGTTCCATAGAGAATAAATCTTATGAATGGTTAAGTGAATCATTTTTTTTAAACCTACGATCATATTAGTAGTATCTCGAACCGTCAGTTTATCTATCTTATATATATTATAATAATATTATCCAACAATATGATTTCAGTATGACAAATTTTAAATTCCCAGAATATTTTCGAAATTCAGTCAACCGTTTTGTCGTTTAAACCATACATTATAATGAAAAGAATTAATCCAGAAGATTCTTATACTTACTACTAACAATTGAAAGTAGAATAATTAGATTTCATAAAAAAATCAATACTTTTTTTAACAGATTTTATTCAAAAATATTTACAAATAACCTCGTAACTAAGTGTTTATACATCATAGTTTGAATAATAATTTTGATATGTATAATATACTCACCTACACATTCATTTTCAAGAATATGATATCCTTTCTCACAAGTACATTTTCTGTCTTGATAATCATATCTAAATAATAAATAGAAATGATATCGGTAGGATGACAAATTTAAGTTACAAAAGATTTGGCAAATTGATAGTATTGAGATTACTGATTGAGAAATCAAACTGATCAATGTGTCAGTTTTCTACTTCAGTCATTTACTAATAGGACCAAAGATAATGTAATTTAAAGTTTTGCTTGTGAATGGTCTAAGACAATGGTCTAATGTATATAGACCATTTGCCAGATATGGTGTTCTATACTTTCTGTTAAATAACGAGATTTCAATACTTCAATAATTGAGAGACTTATACAATGTTGTATTTAAGACGGTTTTAAAAGCTAAATTTTAGTAAAAAAAATATATGTTAAAGCTACATTGTATGCATTTATGAAGTCAAATTGAAACCAATAGTATATCTGTCGGTGATAATGAGTGAAAAGTGTACCCCTTAGTAATAAACATAAACTTTGTAATAATGACAGTTAATACAAGTGTACTAGGTAAGAAATGGTGAAGGGTTCTATTGATAGAAAGGTTCACTTTTGGAAGCACTGAATGTCCGTCTCGTCCTAGTATGGATTTTCTTAGCATTCATAATGCCACAACTCGGGACTCCAACCTACAACCTTCGGTTCGCGGGCAAATGCTTAATCTCCGGACCGCTGAGCCAGTATCCAAGGATGTTAATATCTAACGTCGATTGATCCATGATCCCAATACTGATAATAATCATGTGCTCAGTAGTGACTAGCTTCAAGATGAATTTCTTGGAGTTGTAGTGAGAATCCGTGACCAGTAGAGTTCAATCCGTGTCGGGTGTGAGACAATTACCTACATCAGATAATTGATGAAGGGTTGCGCAAGATCATGGATCGAATAAGGTTAGACATTAATACCGTTGGATGCCGGCTCAGTGGTCTGGAGAATAAGCATTCGCTCGCGGGACCAAAGGTTGTACGTTCGATTCGCGGATGTGGGATTATGGATATTCACTGCCGAAAAATCTAATACTAGGACGAGACGGCCATTCAATGCCTCCAAGTTTTTAATGATGGCCTAGCTTAGATCGGCTTTTTAATTCATCTGTTTAAATACTACAATCTCCACCAATCATTATACTAAGAAAGGTTTTTCTTAGTTTTTATTTAGAACGTTCTGATAAATGAATGTATGGTCAGATTTTTCAACGTGAACTTCATAAAGGCACTATGTTCTTAAGAATAAAACGATCTTCGGGTTACATTAGTAATTCTTCAGTGTTAAAACCTAAATTATCTAAAATATACTTTGAAAGCAATCATGTACAATAAAAGAAAACTTACATTTGAGTTACAGTACAATTGGATTCTGTACAGTAGTATGAACCTAGGGTGTTAACACATATTTTCCCATCATCACAGTGAAAACTTCTTTCCAAACATTCATCTATGTCTAAAATAAAAAAATATCCGGGAACAGCCTAAATTTGTTTTGTTTAAAGTACTTTTAATAATTATGTTTACGTAATTAAAACTAGTATTTATCTTCTGATAACCCAATCATAGTACTGTATGATTTCCTAAAGATGAAGTTATTTTCATAAGTAAATTTTAAGTAGCTTTGATTCCACACCCATCCAAGTTAGACGTTTGTTCTTTCCCGCAAAGTTATTATCTAAGTGACTTACTTAGAACTAATAGCTGAATGTGTTATTAAGAGGACATTTATTACTTCTAACATGGTTTTCAGTAAATAATTAATTATATTCAACAACTGGATGAAGATGCTCATTGTTCATTACTTCATATACCTTAAAAAATATTTCAAAAGTATAGACATATTTATACATAAATTTTTGCTTAAAATTCCGAACTAATCAAATATGAGAAAGTGACTTCATGTAACTTATAGGAAGACACTTAGATAGTAGGTACACACTTAAGCTTGATCAAGCAGAAAGTTGTCTTCACCATCTTTGGTTAGAAATAACATTATATAAGTACAAGAAAGTTAACTGATTATGTAGTTATTGATATAGAGGATAGCAGATACTTCTGTAGACAAAGAAGTATACATCGATAATTTAGACTATGTAAAATGTTGTAGAGGCATAGTTATGGTTTTTATAAAAGATACAAAAGGAACAGAATTTTTACTTAAATGACGAAAATCTATAAGTCTGATATACTTTGGTTTTAAGGTTGAGAAACAGTACAAATCATGACAAACTCATTAACCATGAAAATTCATCATAGGTATTAATGATTCCCTAGTTTTAAGTAATATATTTTTATTTCAACTTGTTTGTGTACTTACAGACTAAAAAGTAAAATAAAAGCATCAATGTTACATTGTGAGTTGCTCAGGTTTAGTAATAAAATATCGCTACATTATGTTATTCAGTCTTTAATAGGTAGTGTTTGCATTTGGCATTTACTTATATCCTTTATTTTAAATCAAAAAAAGATGTAACAAATGAGTAGAAAGTTAACATAGTAGAAATAAATAAGTGATAATAAGGAAACAACAGTCTCATGTTATTTTAATAGCTTACCTATGCATTCTGTACCATTGGCATTAATTCGCGTACCATGAGCACAATTTAATTTGGCTTCACATAAAAAGAAGCCACGTTCGTTAATGCATTTCTCCCAAGATCTACATTTATTCGCTTGTTGACACTCATCAATATCTACAGAAAACAAAAGTTTATTAAAATTAATTTATGAAACTTGTACCATTTAATACGTATTCCTTTTAAAATTTATCATTTCCAGTGAGACGATTAATACTTGCGAATAAATGTGCCAGTTAAGAATGATCCAGTTCTAAATCAATCCGACCAATTAAATGTTAGACAAAACGATATCAGTACAATGATCAATCTTGAAAATTATAAATAAAATTATCATTCAGTAGTTTGTTTATAATGGAAATGAATTTTTAACATTTTGTTATTGCATAAAAATATCCGTCTCTTAGGAAATGAATATTGTTTACAAATGAACATGTGTTAAAGCAGTAAACAGAATTGACGTAATCGAAATGCTTGTAAATGCAAAATCGTCTAAGCATTCAAAGAGCATGTCCATTACCGATAATCATTTATGATATATATATATTCTTTTTATATATTTTTCCAGTAGTGTCTGTGAATAAATTTCAGATTCACGGTAAATAGATGCACTGTTTTCATCATAAAATATTTGACAGCCAACGATCATTATTCATTCTAAATCTAAAATCATGACCTATTTATCAGTATAGGGTTGCGGAGATTGTTGAGTTTAAATTGATATCATTAGTGGATCAAAGTTAAACCACTATTTTTGTCTCAGTGGTTTGGAGATTAAGCGTTCGCGCGCGAGAGCAAGTGAGTGCGCTTTGCTGAAGAGTCCCATACAAGGACGAAACGGTCATCCAGTGTCTCCAGGTTTTTAATAGTTGTCTGAAATTGATCCATTCAAGACCCATTTGTTCAGTTAAAGCAATATGATGCAAGAGCTAATTTTCACAAGAGCATTGGAAAATTATACTTTTTTTCTTTTGCTTCTTCATGTGAACATGCTGTCAAAAAGTTAAATAATAGTTTAATACTAGTAAACTTTAAAGATTTGCGCAACCTTTAGGATTGTAGTCTGAAAAATTTACTAACTCAACTTTCATAGTTAATCACTTTATGGATGGAAAATGTGACTTTTTTACACTTCATTGTTTACTGTTATGGAGATTATACTCATAGCACAGATAATAGCGTATTGCTAATGTAATCACTGATATTTTTCAATTTCTGTCTGATTGTCAACTCATTTTTCAACTACTTCCTTACCATACAGAGCCACTTGTGACTGTTATTAAAATAAGTTTAATATGTAGTTTTTTGATAGTACTCACAGTGTCATTGATACAGTTTTCCGATAAGTAAACTGTATAAGTTGATTATCAGCCTAATTTTTGGTTCTCTCTAGACGAAATGAATTTTTTGTTTTCAAATAACATCGATAAGTCTTGGGTTGTAAACCTTCTGATCAATAAAGCAAGGGTTACTTGGACTTTTATTCATACTTTCACGGTAACTGAAAGTGATCTCCGTAAACTAGGATTGATTTGCAGTTTACTTACTCACTATTTTATTTACATTACCCATAACCATCAGTGAGGTTTAGTACAATCAGGTGACTTTATAAAATACTGTTACATTAAAAGTTAGAGAAAGTGTTCGTGTTCGGTGATTATACAATTTAAAACAATTTCCACTATGAACTGATAGTGGATGGAGAGTGGTTAGAATATACTTTAAAATAAGTAACAGTTATAATAACAGATTTCAAACTTCTGAGAATTGTTTAGATATTTACAGTTTCACTTTTAGTATCGTCGAAAGTTTGTATAGATTCTTTTGATTTGAATTTTCTTGATATAACAAACTGACACCAGCTTAAGAAATGGTGAAAGAGTGCGTTTAGTAAAGTTTTCATTTTAATCCAAGACTCACTGGATGTATACTCACATGCTGATATCATAATGAATGCACATCTTCCGTAGGCATTTTCCTATTGTTTTATAGCTTTCAACGGTCTATCGGCTAATGTCAAGCGTCAAGTTATTACTCATTGATTCATACATGACATATAGATATTTATTTAAAGTAAAATGAAGCCAATATCCATCTACAAATATCTCAATTTTCCCACTATTTATGTTCAGGACTGAATTCGTACCAGTCACTTTCGGTGTATGTGCATCATTAATACAGTGCTCCGATTTAGATAATAAATCACCAATACATAAGTAAGCATATATAGTGGCCAGCATTGAAATCCGTGAATTTTCTCCTATTTTGGGATCATTAGCTGGATATACCTGCATTCCAATGTTAATATTCACACATTTCGCTTCAAATACCTGATGCATTATCAAGACTGAAATTTAAGTACATGCAGTTGACATGTCGTAAATGGAGGGATAAGCGCATCCTGCCTTCCACTGCTTTCCACTATTCATCTCTACTTGAATAAAGACAGTTCAGAGAGAAATATTTCTTTTCAACAATATATTTTCTTCGGTATATTGCATTTATTTTAATCGGTCACAAAATGTATTACTTTCGGTATTTATTATGTTTAAGAAAACAATTTGTTGTTTTAGCACCATCTCATATGTTCATGGAATATTAATTACTTAAATGTGCAGATGAATACATTTGTTAACCATACTAAAATAGTACAGCACAAATTAAAAAAAAAGACAATGTTTATGCCCTAAAAAATGATTCACATAACTTATCGACTTTCATATGGAATCCTAAGGACTTTACATAATTCTTGCATTCTCCGATATTTAATTCTATAAATGGGTGAAAATCTTACAAACAAAATGTTAACATTTATGATTTGGCATATATTTATGCCAACATCTATTCTATTATAATAATTATAATCACAATCTATTTACTATAGTGTTTTATACATTTATGTTTTTAGGGTAAAGCTTACTGTTTTAATAAATCATTTTATTTTCTAGTTTCTTAAATCACATCAATTGATTTATCATATTTATATTTCAATGATTTAACTTTTAGTTCAGTTAGTAAAAAAACAACAATAAACAAACAAATGAATAATAATCATTCGAATTATGTTAGTCAGTCAGCTACAACGTAGGACCAGGCACATATATGCATCGGTCCAAGTTGCCATACCTCATCAACACAACAAGATGGACACCGGATTCATAAAAGTAGTTAATTCAGAGGTGGCAATATATAAAAGAAAGATTGCAATAAGGATATAGTATAGGAAGAAAGAATTAGTTCGTAGAAAGAAAAGTGTAAAGCAATTTTAGTCTTACAGTTTGAGGGAAGACAAAGTGCGTATACACCTACGATATTGTGATCGATTCTGAGCCATGTCACCCAAGTTCTCCAACCATTGGTTACGATAGTCACACGGACCCAACCGAATAGTCTACATTTACCAACATGGCTCAGACCAGAAGTTAATGACTTCAAGCATACACGCCACGTTTTGGTTTGGCCGCCCGAATTATATGAAGATCAAATGTGTTAGATTATTGTAAATATAAAAGATTCTTATTGATTAAACAATCATTAGATGGTCAAAACATGTACTGGGTGAATATATTTGTAAATAATTAAATATTTACAACAAATCAAAATTGTTTACCATTCATATACACAAAAATAATAAGATACATGATCTAATTGGCATAATAATAAGTGCACTTTTATTTATTTACAGGTTTTAAATAAAAATGTAACCAATATTAGTTTGTCCAATGTATAATAATGATTACTAAATAATTGTTTTACATTAAACTTAAACCTAATAGTTTAACTTCAGTGTTATGGTTATAGAAGTAGGCTTAAAGATGCTCATAGGTTACAGTAAATTATTAAAATACTAAAAGTATTTGGGTGAACAATCAGTCTAAATGACTTGATTTACAAACTGTACAGCATTAAATCTATAAGCTTTGCATTTTAGCAGCCATTATGAAGCATATATGAAAACTTATGATAAAATTAGTCAGTTCCACAGTAAAAATAATAGTGTTCACATTTTTTATGACATAAATACTTACAAAACCTGATTATAAAGTTGGAATGTAATGTCAAAGATGAGCTAGAATTACACTGGAAGATGACAAATTATAATCGATAGGGTAAGATTATTTCAATATAATGCTAAGGTTAGTAGGTGTATAAAAACAGGATCTTATGGATTAACTAAGATGCCTTCTAAATTAGGCATTTCTCATAAATAGAAACGATAATGATAAACGTAGGATACGTTGCGTGTAAGATTCGATAATAAACGAGTAACATAGCCTATCTGGTTGGAAAAGAGATGAAACTATTATGAGTCTTGACAAGTGCGAAGGGTTTCAGTTACCTTTGGGGACTGTTATCTTTCATCCTGGATGTAAACTAGTAGGAGTTTCTTCTGTCCTCATTAGTCTACAGATTTACTGCTATCAAACCTAATGATGAAATAAGTTGAAACATTTCTTCTGAAGCATGCACTCTTTTGTCCATAGCCACTTACCAGAATATAAACTACTCAGATACTGAAGAATAACAGATCAAAATTTCTACTTAAGTGTGTCTAATTTGAGTTTCTCTATGTAAACTTCATCGCGAAAGTAGTATATAAGACTATCAATGGAATGAAAAACATTGGTAACAAAGTAATTTGTTTTTAAAAATGAATTGGGTATACTTTGCGCCAGTTCTATTATCCAGAATAACGTATTTTGTATTCAAACCAAATGCATTCATTTAGGGTTTTTGAGTCACAGTTTACGGTTCATATATATGTATATATATATGACCATTATAGGACATACAGAAAAGGTTCATCAGCTAGCATAGTCACACCCTATCAGCACAGAAAGATAAGGCTGACAAGAGTTTATAGCTACTAAGAGTTATCGTATACATAAGCTAATATTGTATCTTAGTTTAGCCTCCACTAGTTTGCCTACTTACTATCTACTCCCAGACTAGCTAATATTACATATTGCACACTTAAGTATATACACATTTAATTCTGTTGAAATTTACATTAGAAAAGTATTGCTAGAGAATAGTATATATTACATACACTACTAACTTATAATCTCAAAATGAAAGCTATTAAAACTATACAAATTATGCACAATATATATCTTTTTCGTTTGAACTACTGTTAAGACATATTGACTTTTTACCTAACAATTGTATATTAAGCAAATTAGTACGTACCATCGCATACTCCGCTTGAGGCATTGTATACATATCCTGTAGGACATGGAACGCAATCACCAATTTTGTTTCGCCTGTATTTTAGTGTTTTCAAAAGAGAAGATTTCAAGGAATGTATTAATAATAAAAACGCGAAAATACAATTAGGAATATAATTTTTGAAAATACGTTTAAAATTCACTGACTTAATATACCAATAAGAACATGTTTAAAATAATTCTTAAGTACAGTTTAGCTTCATATTTCTCTATTATTCATGAGACATTCTTTTAATCAGCAACAACCTTCGTTCTGACTAAAACAGAGGCAGTACAATGCACTATACTATGGTACGGTAACACAGTTACGACTTGAAATACGGTCGGCTGTTAAGACGTATTTTCGTGGACCATTTATAGCCTAACAAAACTAACATTTTACAATGGTTTACGTTGTAATTAATTTTCAATCCTGTTAGTTTTCAAATTTAATATTTCGCATGTGCCACTGTATTTCCAGGTCAGCTGTTTTGTTTCTTAATACTCATTATTCTTGAGATGTGTTTCTTAATTTTTCAACTAAGAACAAGTTTCATTAATGTAAAAACAATCTAAATAACTACATATTATATATAAATATATACCATCATACTTTGCATTTCCAGGGCAATGATAATCAACGCATTTATGACCTCCGCGAACATTTATGCATGCCATACCTTTACCGCATATAAGTGGATCGACTTTGCATTCATCAACATCTAGGGATAGAAAAATATTTGCACAAATGTAAATGGGAGGAAAACAATGATGCTGTTAAAGAATAATGTAAAAAGCTATCGGTAGAAAATAATGTTTCTAGGGATTTTCCTATTCGAAGATAGTTCTCCTAGTGTGATCCCACTCTAGAACGTAGGTGCAGACAGATAATCATTTCAGATCTACTAAAAACAGTTGCCTATTGCTCATTCATTTTCATCGGTTGTCTAGTTTACATCAAGGGCTGAAGTAAAATATTTTCAACGAAAATATACGGAAGTCTAACTGTTCCTAACACAATGACTGCTTGGTTAAGAAACCATTCAATCAAAAGGAATATTGTCGGTAAATGGATTTAAGAACATTATGAATCGTAAGAATTTCTATTTTCTTGTTGTAAATATTTATCATTCAGTTGAACAGTCTTTGTCGATGTTATTGGATCCTTTAACAGGTCTGTCAATGTTATCTGTAATTACAAATCGGTTATATTCTTAATGGTACCAAATAATGGAAGCCACGGGATAGGATTTATTTTATTTGGGACCTGTTGGTCAAGCGTACTTGTGTTTCAGTATTATTATTAACAATTCAAATTGAACTTAGTACCAGTAGAGTTAGGTTCACAACTAGTCATGAATCACATTTTCTGTCTATGCTACACAAACGCTGAAGAAGCCTTCAGTCTAAATTTATGAGTGAACGATAAATAACATACTGATGCGATAGTTTATCATTATTCACTAGGCTGTTGGAATATCTATTACAAAAATCAATACGAATAATCAGTCTTCATTTTTATTGTTTCCTAAAAAAGAAAAAAATACTTTTGCGGATGTATATTTAGTAAAATTGTGAAAAAGCACTTATTAGGAGCATGTTTCTTCCCAATTCTTACCTTCACATTGTTGAGTTCTAGGATTTAATACATAACCGTAACCACATGGGACCTCACGAATACACTGATATGAACCAATTAAATTTCGACATTGTTGACCAGCAAGGCAAGGATTGTACAATGATGTGCATTCATTAATATCTAATCCAATTTAATAATAAAATTTATTTTATTTTAAAAATGAAGGCTAAGTGATTGAACACTTATTGTATTACATAAATAGAAAATAATTACCATGACATTAATATGTATTAATTTAGAATTATTAGGAAAGAACTAAACCTTTTTGTCTGTCGTCATTTCAACAATCCAATGAGAAGACGAAGTTTATCAGGATTATGTGATATACTTGCACATTACATTTCCAACAATCTGATTACACATATAATTGTTAAGAAATTTTTATAGGAAAATTAAAAGGTTAACTAGACAGGTTCAAGGTAAGCCATAACAATGAAAAAAAGTACACAAAAACAATGTGATAAACACTCTGGATAATAAATCAGTATTACCAGGGTATTGTCAAGGTTAAAGACAAATTGTTTTTGGACGCATTAAGAGGGTTTCAATTTCCTTATAATCAAGGTTTCAATAAACCTTAGTATACGTCCTTGAATGCTTTTGTATAACACTACAAGTACTGACTTCATGTCAACCTTATAACTAGTCTCAATCAAATGTTTCGTAATAGAGGATGATGTCTGTCTATCCTATGATCTTATTTGACCATTGGAATTCATTTGTTTCTGCAGCCATTTTTGGTATGTGTTCACCCACCCTTCATTGCAAATCATGATTGCTGCTCCCTATGTACGTGTTTCCGCACATACATGTAAACTGTCATTTCATTCAATTTTTTTTCTAATTTCAAAATTAGATATTTATTTGGAATAAAAGAAAAAAATTAGTTAAATTTTCAAAAAAAAAACGCAACTATCTTTTTGAATACTGAATTCAAATCTAATCTCTTATAAAATATACCTTCCTCTTGAAGTTAGTTTATTCTAGTTATAAAAATACAGTTAATTAAAATATTTTCTATTAAATTTATGAAGCTTAATTTATAAAACAAAAAAAAGTAAA